CCCAGGTCCAGACAGATCCCGCCTGTGGGGAACGAGGCGTCGGGGGTGCAGTCGTGGAGAAAAGGGGCCCCAGCCAGTCCACACTTGAGTTGCTCAGCCCTGTAGTCCTTGCCATTTCGAATGCAAGGACCAGAAGCCTGGAATCTGCCCAGAAAGCGCCCGCTTCTCTTTGTCCAGGTGAAGTCAGCCTCACCTGGACTCTGCGTCTCCCTCCCTCTCCACTCCTCACTCGCCGCTGGGCTGCACTCTACATATGGAGTTAACAGGCCCAGAAGGACGAGGGGTTTGCACCACCTGGCGCCTGCCGGTGTCGCCTGCCTGGGACGCCCTTCCCTTTACACTTCCTCCTTTTCACCAATGCACACTGGAGGAAGGTGTCCCCTTCCTCCAGGAAGCCCTCCCTGACACTTCCTCCACCCCAGCCCTGACCACTCTGAACTCTAACGACATGCCAGTGAGGTGCTGCCTCGAGCTGACCTGGTCACTGCTGTGTCCCTAGTGCCGCTACTCGTGAGTGCTGTGGGGAGAATTAAAAGCCCTTTGTGGTCACAGTCTCCTCTAGTGATTTCTCAGATCTGGTCTTCATTGCTCAGATTGCTCCCATGGCTCCAGCCCACTCATGGCCCACGAAGTCACCTCCCGCAGGACCTGTCTTGGCCACCTCGCCGACCTCCTTCCCCAACACTCCCCTCACCCTCTGCTCCAACCACACCAGCTTCCCTGTGATCCTCAACGCCCCAGGCACATGCCTACTTCGGGGTGTCTGCATTGGTTAGTCTGCCTGCCTGCTCTCCATGACCCCCCCACCTGGTGCCCCATCTTCAGCAAGGTCTCCCCTGACCCCTGCAGCTGGAACGTCAACCAGACACTCCATACATGCTCCCCAAGCCCTTCAGACGTTTTTGCCTTAGTTTTTATCGCCACCCACACAAGTCCCCCCTTTATCTTGTCTACTGCCTGCCCCATCAGCTCCACGGAAGCTTCTTGTCCATTTCGCCCCTTGCTGTAGCCACAGCCTGCAACAGGGCCTGGTGCCCACACATACTCCACAGACAGGAGCTAGGCGTGCCAACCCTCTTCCCCGCTTCACAGGGCAACAGTCTGGGCAGAGGGGGCGGCCATGGTGCTAGCGGAGACAAAGCCAGGATTCCCCCCCAGGCTGAGCGGAGCCCCACCCCTGCCCCCCTGCCAGCTCCTCCCCATTCTGGCCCCCATCTCACCATTCTGGCATGGCCGCAGGCTGCACCGGTCCACCCTCTTCTCACAGTTGGAGCCTTGGAAGCCAGCTGGGCAGTGGCAGATGTAGGCAGAGTCGGGGTCCGCACCTCCCACGCACAAGCCACCGTTGAAGCAAGGTCCATCTGCACATGTCACCCCGCTCACCTCACACCGTAATCCATAAAACCCCCGGGGACAGGCACACTCGAAGGACCCAGGGGTCTCCTGCACAAAGACAAAGAGGACTTTGGACCAGGGTCCTGGCAGGACAACCCCAACCCACGCATCAGCCTGGACCACAGGCTCCCCCAGCTGGCAGCATGCCAGCCTCACCTGCCCAGTCCTCCCTGATGGCCCCTGGCCTTCCCCACGCTTCAGGGTCCAGGCCCAGGGTGACCCTGTGCACCCGTCCAGCCTGCCCTTCCAGAGTCTGTCCAAACAGCGAGGCCAACTTGAGGTCCTGTTCCTAAGGCCCCCCCAGGGGCTCCTCCTGATCTCATTGCACTCCCACACCTCTAGGGTGTCACCCACTCACTCCCCTGTCCATCACCTATTTCAAGGTCCCAGGAAACCCTCCCCAACAGCTACCCCAGCCATCCCTAGGCTGTTGTCTCTTGGGATCCAGGGTGTGAGGGAATCCTCAAAAGTAACACTTAGGATGAGGTGGGGCGGGGTGATACTGACACTGCAGCTGCCCCCGTTGGCACACGGGTTCCCGTCACAGGGCCCGGGCCCGGGCACGAGGCAGCCGGTGTTGGTAGAGGATGAGCCCTGGGGGTCGAGGCAGCCGCTGGTGGACACAGGGATGGTGCAGAGGGGTCCGGTCCAGCCGGCCAGACAGCGACACTCATCGGGCTGCTCACAGAAGCCGTGCTCCGGGCTGCAGCCGGCTCGACACACTGCTGTGGGGAGGCGGAGGGGAGAGGACTGAAGAGGGGCAGCCTCGGGGGGCATGATCAGAGAAGTTTCTGGCGCTTTCTGTGCTTCACTCCGTTTCATGCTCATGACAGACCACCCTCTGCGCTAGCCGGTATTGCCACCTCCAGGGAAACTGAGGCCTAGAGAAGGGAGGTGACTCGCCCAGCTAGGAGGTGCTGCAGTGAGGATGTGACCCAGGCCACTGGGCTCCAGAGTCCAGAGTGGGATGGGGGCTGCAGGTCAGTTTGGAGGGAGAGGCTGAGGGAAGGGGGCCAGAGAGGGGGAGGGTTGGATTAGGCCAGGTCCCGGAGGCTCAGGATAGGGCTGGGAGTCCTAGGGGCTCCCGGGGCTTCAGAAATCTGGGGAGGTGGCCCTCCCTGGTGGCGCAGCGGGTTCAAGCACAGCACTGAGAATCTAAAGCCGCTTCCGCATGAGTTCGATCCCCGCCTGCCCCGGAGGTGACCACATGGCGTGGCAGACCTCTCCTGGCCCGCCCGCTGCTCCCCTCAGCAGTGTACTTCGTCAATCTGCCTGTTCTGCTCCCCGCTCTGTCTCTGGTGAAGCCTCTCACCACCCCTGAACCTCTGGTCTGTACCCCAGTTCTGTATGCACAAATAAATACATTTAAAAAAAAAAGGGAAATCTGGGGAGGAGGCGGTCAGGCTTTAGATCTCAGGCTTTAGAAAGCAAAGGGGGAGAAAGGACCCCTGAAGGGAGAGGCGGTACTGGGGTGGCTTTCAAAGCTCCCAGGTGAGCAGACAGGGCCCCAGAACTACAATGGGGTCCTAGGAATTGCAAAGGGGTGTGAGTATGGGTTGAAGAAGGAACCAACTGAGAGCAAATGGAATGCGTCTGAGGTGCCCATGTGGGGAGACAAGGTGCTGGGAAAAACAGAGCCAGAATACCCAGGAACGTCTGGATGGAACTAAGTCTAGGACCCTCAGTTTCCCCAAAAGCTGGAACGTGGGAGGTGACTCAGGACTGTGAGTGGAGCTGGGGAGGTGCCGGGCCCCAGTGTCCCGGAATTCCTTGGATATTGGCAGGGAGCTGAGGACTGAGAGTGGAGGGGGAGGGAGGAGGGCACTGGTAGCGGTAGGTGCATAACCCGGCTCTCTGGAGAGGGCTACCTGGGGTTCTGGGGGCGGGTCCTGGGGGCCCGGTTCCCTGCGGAGGGTAACTGCCGTGAGAAGGGCCCTGGGACCATGAGTGCAGCCGAGGGGATGAACGCAAGACGCACCAGGCTCCTCGCACACGTCCTCGGCCGGGGTGCAGGGACGCCGCCCGGG